CATAGTTATTTATCAGGTATAGTTTTACACCCGATAGGATGTGTATATAACATGTAATTAACGTGAAATTATAACGTAAATCTCTAGATTTGCATATGTGAGATATTTGCTAGGAAATACGCCTAGGAATATAATTGCTGGGTCTTGGCATACATACTTATTCAGCTTTACTAAGTAATACCTAAATATTTTCCAAGTGTTTATATCACCATCTCTCCTTGTAATTGATATTGTAAGATTTCTTTTCATTTTATTAAAACAATCTGATGAGTATAAAATCTTATTTCACTGTTTTAAATTAAAATTCCCTGGTTACCATTGATGATTACCTTTCCATATGTTTTTTCGCCATTAGTGTCTCTTCTATGTAATGCCACTTTGATCATTTTTTTATTAGGCTATTTGTCTTTTTCCTAAGATTTGGAGGAGATTCTTATGTATTTTCTGGATACTAATTTTTGGTCAGTAACATATTTTATAGACATCTTTTCCAGTTGTAGGTTTTTTATTCATTTCTTTATATTTTTGATGAACAGTAATTCTGTGTGTTAGTGTGGTTAAATTATATATTTAACAGTTAAATTATATATAGTTTATTAAAATTTCTACTTTATTTCCTGTATGTTTCACATCTTTGGTGTCTTAAGAAGCCTTTCCCTGGCCAAATTTTCTCTTATTTTTTATTTTTTGACTTCCTTATTAATATCTTGTTAAAGTAATTGGAGTTGATTTTTATGAAAGGTGTGAAATAGAGATCAGTTGTAATTGTTTCCCATATAGAAAAATTATTTTGCCCCACTGAATAAAAAGTCCATCTGTTTTCCACTGATCTACAATAATTAATCTGTCATATTAAAATTCCATGTATACATAGGTCTCTCTTGTTCCACTGGCCTTTTTATTTACCCCGGTCCTAATTACTCTTGCTTTAAAAATGTTCTGTTCTCTGGTGGAATTGATCCCTCCACCTTTCTCTTCAGAAGTATTTGGTTATACTTGTTTTGATCT